AGAAAATTCATGCATCGGGTTGTCATTTCGCCTTGTTTCGGGCTGGTTTTGCCCCTCATTTTAGTACTGAAATTTTGCATGCTTGTATGCCATATTCCATGCCTTGCCATGTCTTGTTAGAGTGGCATTTTGTGCCTTAGGGTCGGTCCTCGGTTTGCGTGCATGTGTGCACGCATTCCGAATTGTCTCATCTTCATCTGATGGCCTCTTATGTGAGTGTGGCTGAGGTCCACTCATGTTGGTGTAAGTCCATTATGCATTGTGTATGCCATTTTATTTCATAGCATTGCGTATGCTAGGTTATATGTTAGCGCATTGTGTATGCCATTTATCTCGCGCATCGTGTATGCCATTTCATAGCATTGTGCATGCTAGGTTATATATTAGTTGCATTTCATGCATATCATGCATATTGCATCGTGCTTGGGATAGGAGTTAGCCCGAGCACGGGAAACGAGGTACGTTTCGTACTCCGAGTGACGGAACGTGTCTCAATTCCCAGTCACCGACACTCCAGATTATCCATGATGGAGTTAGGTTTTAGTTGAGTCTTCATGTGCATTCATTCTGTATTGAGTTGCACATTTCAACTCCTCGCCATCATGCATCGAGATGCGTGATTGTGGCAAAGGATCGAAGCATGCATACATTTGTGAAAATACATTGCTATGTCCCTTTCCTGCTCTCTGTTGCAGCAAATCAAGAATTAGCAACCTTCCGGAGCTTGGTACGCTTTCCAAGAATAATTGCAAAACAGAGCGCTAATTGGGGCATCCCAGTGGATTTCCGCGCAAGACAGCCCAAACATACATCATTCAGAAGAGTCAAGGCAGTCCCTGGCTTGCATGCCAGTTTATTAGCTTTCTTAGTTAATTTGTAAATTAATTAGGAATTTGTTTATATTTGGACTGTATTATTTGGACTGTACTATTTATTTGGACCCTCTGCGCGAGGGCACAACTGTAATAAGTGTGCGTGTGTGTGTTGTATGTCTTCCAACCCACGTCTTTCTCCCTTTTATTTATCCGCTTATGATGGTTAGATTAGGGCATATTTCAATTAGCATACAGTATGACAGCATGTTTCATCATTCATCTGTTTTGCATGCACCGGGCTCGGCGTATCATACTAACTGCATTGTATTTTCAATTCAAGTTGAATACATGTTAGCTGTAGCATTTCATATGCCATGTTTAGAATAGTCGAGCCTGCTATAGTTGCATTTTGCATGTGTTGCATTAGGCATTTCTGTATAATTAGGATCATGCATGGGTTTCTAATCGGTTTCTGTTTTGGCTTGGAGTACTCGGTGAGTTTTTAATGCTTTAGCATCCTTGCATGCGTGTGAGTGACTGCCATGATAACATGCTTACCATGAGGCTATTTGCTTATATGATATAACTGCCTGAATGCTTGTGGGTGAAGGTTGGGTTATTTGGATTGGAACAAATCATTGACTGTGAGTTTTAAGCCCATTAGATAGTGGCAAAACCATCTTTTCTTAAGCCCACCTAAGGGTGGCAAAATCTGCATTTCAAGCCTACTTGCGAGTAGCAAACCGTCTTTCAAAAAACAACATGAAATGTTTCGTTCCAATTCAGGCGACCCAGTCTATACTTGTATGTTGTGCGCATCACATAGTAAATCTAGGCTAAAAATAGGAATAAGAATACACAATGTTTTTCAAAACTAGATATCATGGTTAGTAGAGGCCGATCTTTGATCGGGCGAGCGGGGGTGCTCACGAAGTGACCTTCCCAATCGTACCCAAGTTCCCGAGCCGAGGCAACTTTGGTGATGACGGACACGTGGCCTTAAGCAACGAGTCAGAGTTTCCTAAAATTTCCCAAAATAAAATATTTAGGTGGCGACTCTGTATCTGGCAAAGCAGTCCATGTTTGGCACTTCTTTCAAAATCTGTTTTCTCAAAACGATTTGCCGGATTTGGACTCTTTGGTTCAGATTAAGAACCGTGACAATTTGAGAGTCCTGAGCTGTAGTGACCCCAGTATCGAACAGAACGAGAGCTCACCCTCTCGGGTCGTTCGGGGGACGTCTACAATTACCTTTGGAAGTGACAGTGAGATCCAATCGACTGGCCAAGCATTTGTATATTCCTATGGATGAATATTCAGAGGCACTATCGATTAAGTTGCAAGATTTATAAGGAAAAAGAATTGTGGCTTTTAATCATTTGGTGGCTCAGAAAAAGAAAGTTGAGAGAAGTTATAACAAGAAAGTTAAGAGTA